GGATGATCCGAGAAAACGGAGACGCGGAACGGATCTCCCCTTGACAATAAACTTGAGCGGTAAACATGAAGAAACATGACCCAAATATGTATTAACCGTTCAGCTAAATGCACTCTTCTCAATGGATAACCGAACACTACTGGGGAACCGTACCCTTTGAGGGTCCTTAATGTTTGTTTCTTGAAAAAATTTCTAAGGACATTCAGAGGGGCCCGAATTATGATGTTTTTAGAATATACCGTTTGTTCTCTTGGATAAGCGACTACTATCAAAGTCCATAGTTCTTATCACTCCAGCGAATTATCTCACGAAGTGTAACGTTCACTTGATCCTGTTATCATCGCCAGAATCGGGTGGAAAGAAGGCACGCATCACGGGATGAGGGTTCTTTTCTTCATTAGCATTCTCTCCGGAATAACCCAACCGCGTCATCCCTCATCTGATCCATTACGTAAAACCCAAACGCTCCCCCGTCAGAATGTGAACAAGCCATAGTCTTTAGAAGTTAGACATTTGCCGTATTTCTCACAGTTTCGTACAAGACGGATCTCGAACATGAAATGAACAAATTTCCGAGCATGAGTGTATAACAGTCCAGCGAAGATTCTCGCTTGCATTGCTAGATTCTCTCTCTTCCTGGACACCTCCAATCTCTTGAAATATCGAGCACTGACAACGGAAATCGTTGGTTCTTTTCGTTTAACGATATAGAAATAATCCTTGCTTTTCCTTTTGGTATTTCTTGTAGATCGATTGACAGACCAATTGGTTGAGAAAGACAGAGGAAGGGAGAAAATAGGAAAAACAAATAAAGGTATAGAAGGAACTGAGCAAGCTAACAAAAGTCCACAATAAACATCCGTCCTAGGGGCATCACTATTTTACCGGTGGGGCGGGATCATGCGAAGGCGTCGGCTTAGCACGCAAGTGTCTACCTCCTGATCTTGAAACTGCCGTAGGTAAGGCAGTGCCCTGGTAAGCCGTCTTGACTCTCGTTAGAATCTGGGCTGCTTCGGCAGACGTAGAGAGCAACAACAGAATTGAAAGCAAAATTGCCAGCACGGCCCCTCCTTTTACCTGCATCATCTTCCTCTCCACAAGCTCTCCCTCTTCCTCTTGTGTCACTCCCGAAAGCTGAATAAAACTTCCTTCACTAGTTCCAATATATAGCCTTTGCAGGTTGTTGAAAACTTTTTTCACAGTCAATTTCTCGGAACTCTGACTGAAGCTAATGGTGAACTGCATTATATTTAATGAGGAAATGCATTAATCAACGGAGACCTGTCAACAACAATGACCAACTCTTGCACAGAAAGAAAATAAAGGTTGAAATCGGCAAAAGATGACAAGTTAGAATGGACCCATTCTTTGTGTTCAACAGGATGAAAGGTTGAAATTGTCAAAGGTTGACAAAGGACAATGAAAACAGTGTCCAACGTTGACATCTCTGTACGTGAAGAGTTATAACTTGTAAATTTTAAAGAACTTTTCGTGAAACAGCACCCTTCTTAATCATGAAGTGCATAACACAGTAAATCCTGCACTTTAGAATAACGGCTTCAGAGTTTGGTTTATCATCTAGATACTGTCTGCATACCCTACCTGTTGAAGATTTTTGGGAAGTAATGGAGTCAACATTTACGGGGATTTCAGAACTGCACTTCACTTCTCTGTCAACGTCATAGTCAAGTGATGAAAGCATGACAAACTTGGTGCTTTTTACCTTTCATATCATGAGCCATTTTTAAGCAAAATGCTGATACACCTCCTCGGAGACACATTTCATCTTTCTTGGTTGAGCCAGCAGGAGACTGGAGAAAGTCATAGCCAAAATTTGTTTATGTTTTGTAATAAGTGACTGTTGAGGTACATATTCGTCATATGACGAACTGATGTCCTTCAAGTCTTCTTATCTTCACGATGATTTAGGCACCCAGGACATTAATAAAGTGATCTCTCACCAATGCGTTGTCGTGGATTAAGGTGCCCACTAGATTAGAGGGGCTCATATTCTCAGCTTCAAGATGTGTTTTTATGTATCCTAATTTTCTTTCCTGGTACAGTCATTTTAGAGAATTTTCATAAAAGAAAAAGGAACCTAGTGCCTTGATGTCTAGCATAAGGAGATAGTGGATACTAACATATGCTTACTTTCTGGTAGAAATTCTCTTGAATTACATTTATGGCATAGAAGATTACATCCTGTAAGCACTCTATTGATTAGAAAGTAAATTGCGTAAAATCTAGTTGGACACCTTACTTTAGACGAAGACACCCCATTTGTGTGTTAAATTTTAATTAACAGAAAATAAACCTAAGAGTCATTCAAATCCAAGATGCATATCACATCTACTAAAGCCTTCAAAGCATTATATATAGATCTCTTTAGACCAACGAAGGTAGCTAGTCTTGGTGGAAAATATTACTATCAAGCGATCACTAATGATTATTCATGTTACACTTTGACTCAGTTTCCAGCCAGAAAAATGAAACATTTTCAACCTTTAAAAACATAAAAGAAGAGTTCAGAGTAAATTAGGAGCTAAAATTAGAAGCATGAGAAGTGATCATGGTGGAAAATTCGAGAATGCTGGGTTTATCTAATTATGTGATGGAAATGAAATTACCTGTGTTTTTTCTAGCTTAAGAATAGTGAAACAAAATGTGGCAAAACATAAAAATATAACACTTTAAGAAAAGGGTACTGATAAATAGGGCGTTGCTAAAGCCTAAATTGTGGAAAATCTTATGAACTTATCAAAAAATGAACAACCAAATGTAGGGTACTTCAAACTCTAAGATCCAAGTTTTTATTTTGAGTAATTGCAAAACAAACCCGAAATTTAATCCTAGAACTGATGAAGAACTCTTCCTCAAATACTTAGAAAGATCTGAAGGTTATAACATATATCATAAGTGATTTGTGGTTGCTTAAGAATCCATCCACGTGAGATTAATTTTACAACTTGATTGTACAAAGATTAAGGGAGATGAAAATGTCAAATAAATTTTGAGTAAATCGCATGGCATTAAGGAGTATATATTAGATGTTAGTCTCCCTCCAAAACATGAGTTATCCAAACAAAGCAGGATCATTCGATGGAAAATATGATGTTAAGTTTAAATAATACTGTTAAAAAAGGTAATATTTGAGATTAGAAACCCATTTTATTACTCTTACATCAGAAATACAGCAAAGAAAACTGATGAAACCTTATTCGATTAAAATTAGATCAACCCAATGCATGAAGAGTTATAAGAATTTTAAAGAATATTTTTTTTGGATTTAGTTCCTTATCTTACTGATTCCAACATAATATGATTGTCAAAAGTGTATTTTTGAATGGAACTGTAAAGTGGAAGTCTATGCATCCTAACCTCCTATCCATCCAAACTTTCCAAATCATGTATACAACCTAAGAAAGGCTTCATAAAACTCTATACAAGATCCAACAATGAGCTACTGAATTCATTTTTAAAAAAGATCATTAGAGGAAAGATACCTAGAACATTTTATCAAAACTGAAAATTACATAATTCTAATTGCTCAAATCTATATTGGTGATATAATTTTTTCACCTAATGATTGATCAATATACAATGACCATGATGGGGGCACTCCCTTAATTCATGGATTACCAGAAGAATAGCTCAAAAAAAGAATTCTAATATCTCTAGAAAAATATACTATGGACCCGCTTCAGAAATTTGAACTAGAGAGTTTTAAATTAAAAACACAGTCAAGGGATGAAATTGTAAATTAGATCCTGATGGGAAATAAAAGAAGGTTGCATTATCAAATAGATCCGTCAACTCTTTTTGAAAGCAGTATGAAGTTTTCCATTGAGCTTTGTGATTTTCTTTCTTCGTAATGTAGCAACAGGGAGCCAATTCCCTGATTTTAAATGATAGCATGAGATCTACCATCAGAGGATAACGAGAAGATTAATTTTGGGAGTTTTTCCGTAGGTATAAAGAATGGTAATCATCCAGAGTACCAGAATTGTAATGCAGGAGGGAGACACGCACACGCACCCCCAGAGATTTACGTAAGACGTCACCGAGGCAGTCAGCGTTGCTGCGGGTTATGGGGCTTCTATTGGCGCCATCACGAGCTGTGTATCTCTCCTCGTTAAAACGCGGAAACCGATAAAACATTTAAGGCCACGCGGTTGGTGGTCGAGGATGGTACCCGTGTTATTTAACGCGTGGTAAAACCGGCACCACAGTCATGTTTCTATAATTTTGATGACGAGGAAGGAGTTCGATTTGGAAACGATATTCAGCGGTCAGGAATGACCGAGTCCGCTGGCTCATGAAATTCAAAGCAGGAACTGGGGAGACCAATAATCTTTGACATGGAATAAGGTTGATCCGAGAAAACGGAGGTGCGGAACGTATCTCCCCTTGATAATAAACTTCAGCGCTATACGTGAAGAAACATGACCGAAAGAAGCTTTAACCGTTCAGCTAACGCACTCTTCGCAAGAGGTAACCGGAACACTACTGGGGAACCGTACCCTTTGAGGATCCATAATGTTTGTTTATTCAAAAAAAAATCGGGACATTCAGAGGGAACCGAATTATGATGTTTTTAGATCTAATATACCGTTTGTTCTCATGGATAAGCGATTACTATCGAAGTGCATAGTTATTATCACCCCAGCGAATTGTCGCATTCATGAAATGCGCCAAAGTTTCGTAATAAAATATAGGTTTGTCCAGGCTATATGCTTGTTTTCTGTCATTCATGTGACAGCTTGAATGAGTCGCGCTAGGGACATGACCGTGTAACCCTAATTTGATCCTGTTATCATCGCCAGAATGGGGTGGAAAGAAGGCACGCATCAGGGGATGAGGGTTCTTTTCGGCAATAGCCTTCTCTCCGGAATAACCAAATCGCGTCATCCCTCATCTGATCCATCACGTAAGCCCAAACGCTACCCCGTCAGAACGTGAACAAACCATAGTTTTTACAAGTTAGACATTTGGCGTGTTTCTCATAATTTCGTACAAGCTGGATCTCGAACATGAAATGAACAAATTTCTGAGGATGAGTGTATAACAGTCCAGCAAAGATTCTCGCTCGTATTGCTAAATTCTCTCTCTTCCCGTCAAGCTAACAGAAGTTCACACTAGACATCCGTCCTAGGGGCATCACTATGGTACCGGTGGGGCGGGATCATTCGAAGGCGTCGACTTATCAGGCAAGTGTCTTCCTCCTGATCTTGAAACTGCCGTTGGTAAGGCAGACCCCAGGTGAGCTGCCTTTATTTTCGTTAGAACCTTGGCTGCATCGGCGGATGTAGACAACAGTAACAGAATTGAAAACAAAATTGTCAGCACGGCCCCTCCTTTGGCCTGCATCATCTGCCTCTCCACAAGCTCTCCCTCTTCCTCTTGCGTCTCTCCCGGAAGCTGAATAAAACTTCCTTCACTAGTTCCAATATATAGCCTTTTCAGGTGGTTGAAGACTTTTTTCACAGTCAATTTGTCAGAACTCTGACCGAAGGTAATGGTGAGCTGCATTGTAGTTAATGAGGAAATGAATTAATCAACGGAGATCCGTCAACAAGAATGGCCAACTCTTGCAGAGCAAGAAAACAAAGGTTGAAATTGGCAAAAGATGACAAGTCAGAATGGACCCATTCTTTGTGTTCAACAGGATGAAAGGTTGAAATTGTCAAAGGTTGACAAAGGACAATGAAAGCAGTATTGAACGTTGACCTCTCCATACCTAAAGAGTTATAAATTTAAAAGAAGTTTTGGTGAAACAGCATCCTTCTTAGTCATCACGTACATTACATAGTAAATCCTGCAGTTTAGAATTACGGTTTCAGAGTTTGGATTATCATCCAAGAGACTATCTGCATACGCTACCTGTTGAAGATTTTCAGGAACTAAGTAATGGAGTCAACCTTTACGGGGATTTCGGAACTGCACTTCATTTCGCTGTCAACGTCATAGTCAAGTGATAAAAGCATGACAAACTTGGTGCCTTTTACCTTTTATATCATGAACCAAGTTTAAACAAACTGCTGATAAAGATGCAGGCAGGCACATTTCATCTTTCTTGGTGGAGCCAGCAGGAGACTGGAGAGCCATATCCAAAGTTTGCTTATGTAGTATAATAAGTGACTGCTGAGCTGGATATTTGGTCAAATAAATATTTCTGTATTTTCCATATCATGAATTGATGTCCTTCAAGTCTTCTTTTCTTCCACGATGACTTAGACACCTAGAATAGTAATAAAGTGACCCCTCGCCCATTGTCGTGGAGGCACCCAGTAGATTAGGGGGCCTCATATTCTCAGCTTCAAGATGTGTTTTTATGTATCCTAATATTCTTTCTGGTAAGTCACTCTAGAGAATTTTCATAAAATGAAAACGAAACCTTGTACCTTGATGTCTAGCATAAGGAGATAGTGGATACTAAGACATGCTTACTTTCTGGTAGAAATTCTCTAGAAATATGCGTTTATGGCATAGAAGCTTACGACATTTAAGCACTAGATTGATTGGAAAGTTAATTTACATACAATTTAGTTGGACATGTAAGACACCAAATTTGTGTGTAAAAGTTGAATTATAGGAAAATAAACCCATGTCATTCAAATCCAAGATGCGTATCACATCTACAAAAGCCTTCGAGCTATTATATGTGGATCTTTTTAGATGTCATACGCATGACAGTGATCACATGACAGTGAGCTACTATAAGAAAAAAAAAATTGAGATTTAGTTCGTAATCTTAGTGATTGAAATATAATTTGATTTCAAATGCGTAATTTTTGAATGGAATTGTGAAAGCGGAAGTCGATGTATCCAGACCTCCTGCATTTATCCAGTCAAAATTTCCAAATTATGTTTACTGCCTAAGAAAGGCTTTATATATATTTATACAAGATCCAACAACAAGCACACGAATTCATTTTATAGAAAAAAAAAGGTCATTACAGGAGAGACAGCTAGAACATTTTACCAAAACTGAAAATCGCAAAATTATAATTGCTCAAATCTATATTGATGACATAAATTTTTCATCTAATGATTAACTAATGTACAATGACCATGTTGAGGGCACTCACTTAATGCATAGATTATTATAAGAATAATTCGAAAATAGATTTTGATATTGCTAGAAAAATATACCATGGACTGAGTTAAAAAATTTGAACTCGAGAGATTTTAAATTAAAAATGCACTCAAGGGATCAATTTGTAAATTCATTTCTGATAGGAAAAGAAAAGATGTTGAAAAATTCATGTACTGGTTCAATATTCAGCACATGACCAAGATATTTGGCAGCAAGCTGACCTTATAGTTTATCTATTGTCCATTTGTGTACTAGGTTTAAAAATGACCTCAATGAATCCCATCTAGGTTAAAAGTAATTTATATCTTAGTATTGTGTTTAAAATATTATAGTATCTGAAAAATCATGAATTAAATTTAACTGGTTATGTTCTTCAGTGTTTTTAACACATAAGATAAACATATAAATATAAGGGTATTTACTTTTAGGCAGATTTTTAATTCTGTGGTTTTCTAAAAAGTAAAATTATGTTTCACTATCAACTGCTGTTGCACTATGTTGACTTGTGGAATCACAAAAAATCATCTTTCACTTCAGATGTTTACCACTCTCCATCCCTAAAAACGACCTACCATAGTCAATCTTCTCATTATCGCTTGTTAGTGTGTCCTGTGCCATCATTTCAAATCACAGAAATAGATGTTATTACTACATTCCTAAGTTGAAAATCACATAAATCTAAAACTTCACAATGACAGACTTCATGACCACTGAAATCTTGAGAAATTTACCCTAACCTTGTGCTTACAAAATATAGGTTAATCACCAATGTGAAAGGAGTATCAATTGAAATAACCACCTCTTTACTGATTTATGTCTTTAGAATGCCAACATACTTTCATTGTGCTAACACTTGTAATGGGTATATATGTGACTGTGGAAAAATGTGGAAAACATAACCTACTTCTGACCATTCATTAAAAGTTAAAACTTTCCCCCAAACTTCTCAATTTCCTCACAAAATTCTAATCAAAAACCTTCTTGATTGTGGGGACTATAAAGATAAGTTGAGACTATTAAAGCTAGATTTATGTGTTTTAATTAGTTTATTATTTGATTTTATTTTGTTAACTTGCAGAATAAATATAAGATATATTTTTAATTTTAAAAATCTAAAGTTAAAATACTTAGCATATTTTTTGTTAAAATATAAAAAACTCTTCCACCTATTGGTAAGTTGGCACTCGATAGCTGACCTAGAGGGGGGACAACAGTCGAGTGGGTAGACCTAGACTAGGGGGAGTCATGAGCTGGGCTCGAGTGGCGAAGGCCTTGCTCCGTGGCGTGTGCATTGCTCCCCTTCCACATCTCGATGTTCTATTGATCGTGGGGCAAGGAGCACCTGTACACACGTGTGCACGCGAAGGCAGACCACCTTATTGCCTTCTCCCAAGATGGTCTTGAGTATTATTTTATTTCTGAAGAAGGGATCTCTATTGAGACTATAGCTTTGGTTTATATTTAGGGTATGTCTGAAATATCTCTGATGTGGGACTAAACATTTTCGTATGTTTCAGTGCAGTCATTTGGAGCACAGTGTGATCCAGTAGTACGTAGCAAGTCACATCATCAGATTCACTAGATCCTACAATTGGCGAATTGTCACGATACTAGATGTGAAAAGTGATCCATCAGTGGTTTGTGAATCCAATGCCACTCAACATGTACATGGCCTTGAAGGATGATCCGATGGCTAGGGAGGTGTCATGGTACCAAGAGCTTAAGTTTCCGATCGGTAGTGATTTACGGCGAGTTAATCCTACGTCCCTCAACGCGCCACGTGACCAAACATATCTCATCCAATGACTTGTGAAGCACCACGATACTAGGAACTTAAGTTTTCACACGTATCACTGTTAAGGATATAAAGACAATAATTAATTATTATTTGGTAAAATAGATTTTATTGATTATCTTTAAGATCCTGATGGTAGTCGTAAATACGTCAATCCATTCTTCCCTCCTTTTGTGTGATCGACGTCTTCGGCAATCAGCAAGTTTCTTCCTTCCTCTCTCAACTACACTCAAGGCCTCTAATGAGTGGTCAGCTCTTCCCTTCTTTCTCTAGATGACAGTGATAGTGTGGTCAACCCCTCTTCTGGCAAATCTCTCTGGTAAACGGCGCAACACTTTTGGAAGATATTTTTGTGACTTCCGGTGTGGTGTGGCATGTCTGGAATAAACCAAGTCACCACACTAATGTTTCTAGTTGCCCAAGAGGTAGACTAAACTTAGGCAACAATTTACTTCCTACTTTTAGCATTTACTTACCTACTTTTGTTATTTATTTGTATTTTACAGCAAGCTATTTCTGTTTCATGCACATTTTGATTGAAATGAGTAGAACTAACTCAAAACTTGATGAATGATCTTCGTTCTTCTTCTAAATCCTCCAAAACTCGTCTGAGATTAAGCTAAGATCATTTCCAACTTGTTTTCTATTGATTTTTATAGTCGAATCTCAACATATTCATGTTCCCGATGTTCCATGAATAACGAGTATTTTTCTATTTTTGAACACAAAATCACTAAGATTAAAGGCTGATTAATGAGCATTCAACAGTTAAAATAAGTTGGAGACATTCACGGCTGACCTCATGTCATGTGTGTGAATCCTCGAGCACACATTTGTCTGAGAAAATGGGTTGATTGTATTTCTCTCTTCCTTCATTTTCATCTTATTTCTCTCTCCCTCTCTCGTGAGACCTCTCTTCTCTCTCTATCTCTCGTGAGATCTCTCCCTTTCTCTCCCTCTCTCTCGATCGATCTCGTTCTCTTTCTCTCTCTCATGAGACTTTTCTCTCTCTCTGTCTCATGTGAGATTTCTCTCCTCCTCTCTCTTGCTCTCCCTTTCACAAGAAATCTCATCTTTTCTCTCTCTCGTGAGAGCTCTCTCCTCCTTTCTTTCTCTCCCTTTCATGAGAGATCTCATCCCTTCTCTCTCTCATGAGAGCTCTTTCTTCTCTCTCTTTTCCTCTTTCTTTTTCTTCACTTTCTTTCCTTTATTCTTCTAACCTCACCCTTCTATTTTATTATTTCTATTAAATATTAATAAAATATTAAAATCACTTTATATATAAATTCAATTAGTTTTCACAACAGATTAATCAATCTCCATGTGCTTGACTTGAGACTTACTTCTATACTAGTATTTTATTAAGTCTTAGTTGTAAATATTATTTAGTGTGCATTTAAACACAACAAGTGCGCACTAGAAACCAAACAACATTTCAGCTTTTACATTATGCATGCAAAACTCACCTTCCTTCTAATATTCATTGCTAACAGTGTGATATCTACTTTTCTCATTATCCTTTATCTTATGCATCAATTATCACTTGAATTCTAAAATATTTGTAAATTGGTAAATCCAACTCAAATCCTCACCATCTATTGAACTTTGATTAAATTCAGTTCAACTTGGCTATTCATATCATTATCCATGTTCAGTCCCTTCCCAAATGGCACCGCATCCTTTTATTATATATTTCTCAATGTAACATATTACCCAATTTTATTGTATAGTGAGATAATTAGATCAACAAATGTGGTATGTGGATGCTAGATATCTAATAAGAATTCTGCTTTATCATAAAATTCCTTTCTGACATCATCTTACTTTCATGGTTCACATTAGTCTATAAATTGTATCCAATTGGGGGAGGGGTGGGTAAAACATTAGGGTAGAATCTAAATAGAATTTATGCTTAAATAATATCTGAAAATTAGAAGGACAATATCTAGAACGAAGCTGACTTTAGCTCTTCAAAAGTTACACCATACATCTAACGATAGTGAATGTTTTTTCATAGAGTATTGTGATTTCTGCATCCACTCTCTTAATATAAAAAATGATAAATATAACTAGTATAGAATCTTTAACTCTGAAGTGACGAAATATGAATATACATATCCTTAATTAATATAAACAAGGTTCTTATTTGAATAAATTCTTAATATAGAAATGAGCATCTATGTGATGGGTATTTTCATATGATAAAAGGCAGAAAGATTGTCATACACTACCAAAAACCTTAGCCATTGACTGAAATCTCCACAATTGTGTTCTGAAGGGAGGAAACAATTAAACACAAAAGAAAGACTTCAATAATGGAAATTAAATATAGCTTCCTCTAATTACTTTATTCCCTGTATTTTTTATTAATAAAAGATGGAGACTGATGTGACCTTATTACTGTATAATAAATCACACAAATTGAAAATTTATAAAATTAATAAACACTAATTTTAAAAAATTTAAAACTACTTCAGTACAAATAAATAAATTATAATTTGACAAAAGGTTTCAAAAATAGTGTAAAATTTTCAAGTCAATTATCAAGATGTAAGATAGTATTGGATAAACATTTAGAATTTTTTGTAAAGAATATGATATTTTATAATTTTTAGACTAAATAATAAAGAGAAAATAAATTTAAAAATTCATGAAAAAAGAAAATTTAAGTGCAGATATCATGATGATGTCATCACCTTGACAAACATGATTCAAGTAGA